TGATGAGCGTTTCAGTTCTGAATATGCAAATCAATATATCGATCCACTTCAGTCAACTGTTGCTAATTAACCTGTGACTGCTCCACTTCTCGTATCCCGGGCCGTTAACCCTTAACAACTGGGGCCGGTCGTCAATGCTAGGTACAGGAGGTGGTGGTAATGTTACAACTCGATCTGGATGAGCTGGGTCTAGCTAAACTTATTGATTAGTCGATCAATCAATATTGTCATTACCTCATTACCGGTGTCCGGAAAACTTCTACTGTGGTCGTTGTAGTGACAGTGTCATTGATAAGAGCATCTGCATTTTCACTTTGTGAACGGCGAAGCCCAGTTTCGATTGGAAACGGATCAAATCGACCCTGGAGTGAATGAATGAATGAATGGATAAATAAATAACAAATAAGGGGAACAAATAAATAATTTTTGTTTGCTTATTGACCCAAATTTTGCGTTCTTTCTAAAAATCCCTATATTCCTATTCATCACCAGATCAACCCAAAGACAATTAGCCTCTAGTCATCCATTATTTGTTTAGCATCAACGCACTACGCAAACAAAAATCTCATCTACACACACTTGCCGTAAAGTACAAGGTCTCATCCGTCCACCACTTGAGAAATGTCCTTTGGATTACTCACCGGATTAAATACATTCAAGGTGACCTTCGATGGTTGGATGAACTCATCAGGCGGTGAATCTCGTCCAGCAAATGAATACACAGGCGATCGAGGTGGTGATGGTGCTCGCATTCGTGGAGGCGGTTCAGGTTGAGGTGATCGCTCCTGACGCGATTGTCGTATATGTTCCGATTGTGGTTGTGGCGAAGTAGCGGTACTAATATGGAGTGCAGGCCAACCTAAAAGTAATGAGTTGTACTAAGCCATTTGACATAAATCTATGTAGAAAGAGTATTTTATCGGAGAAATTATCGAAAACGCAGTTGTCGCGTACTTGTGGTGAGATTCTCTTGACTTGTTCCTGGTGCAACAGCATGCATCGCCGTACCACCGCCTGGTGTCTCAATTTGAGGGAACTGTGATGG